GAGAGAGAGAGAGAGAGAGAGAGAGAGAGAGTGTAACCTGCATGAGAGTCTGGAATCGCGTGAGATGAATCTCTGGTACGAGTGGTTGGTTCGGTTGTTTCGTGTCTTCCTTGACGATGTGATGGTGTTGTCTTCGGCTAGTACAAGAGAAGAATACACGCGAAACGGGAGATAGCGGGGCTGGCGGGATCGCGAGAACAGGACGCTAAGGGAGAAGTTTCATTCGCCGGATGTCGTGTGCGAGGGTGATTATTTAATTAAATAACAGCCGCTTGTGGAGATATTTCGCTCGGTGGTTACATTGTTCTTAAGTGGCGCGAGGAAGCATGTGAGCTAGTTGGCACGGGGAATTTACTTTTATCGCGAAAGCGGAAATTCGCTCGCTTCATTGAGCAGCTAATAGTACTCCAGAGCGTCTAACATTCGAGAGGTTCTTCTGATCGATTCACCGCTGTTGAGTTTTTAGTCGGGGTTTAGAGCCAGGCCGATCGGGTTACATCAAAGACTCTTTGTGGGGTTTTGCCCTCGTCACTCTCCGTTGCGGCACTTTAGGCGAGAGTATTTTTTTCGCTCGTCCCTTGTACGTATACCTTGAATAGGGTGGGAGGGGGACGGACGCAGGGGGAGGCAGGGGCGACTCTTAACTCGCAGCAAACCATAAACAACTCACGAGGGATCCAGCGACACGAACTCGCAAAGTTAACGAAATCAAGTCGTCCTAGTTGCGCGCAAGTTAGCGAGAACAATGTTATCCCTTCGAAGTGTTACCCTCGTTGTAACGATCGAAGGTTGATTGGCGAGCTCTACAAACTTACGCAGTACGTTTAATGCGGATGACTTTGTACCACTGACGTTTACTTTGTAGATCTACTTTTCCGTTTCTTTCATGCGGTCTAAAGTTTCGCATTTTATCGTTACAATTCAGACTTTATTCGCGTGCCGTCTACAAATCGCACTGAGATCTCTCGCGTTTCTCTCACAAGTCTTTTCTAAAGTTTAGACTACCAGACAAATCGTGAATCTTCAATGGAACCTGAAGACCGATATGAGCATGATGTCTTCCTTCTCGTTATAATGACATAAGATGTCTTAAGGGCATCCTGAATATGCTTAGAATTTCCTGAGATACTTTTCAAACGTTTGGACATGTTCAGGATGATTTTAGGATGTATTGCGCTTTTTGGGTAATTAAACCTATTTTATAAATCGTCGACACATTTTAAGGCTCACTATATTGCCGATAATTAGCATGCTTCCTTGGCTACACGCAACATGTTATTCGGGTCATATAGATAGGGGCGGATCTATATGGAGTTCTGTGGATCTATATGGAGATTACAGCAAATTTTAGTCAACTATTTTTCATTTTTTCATGTCACTACATTTTTAATAGACCCTCAGCTTCAGATTAATTTCATTTAGTTAACTTAGTCTGAAAGATCTATTGAAGTCATTTTGTTATTACTGAATCGTCGGGCACGTATTATAGCCGTGCCGATAATTTCTCTCTCTCTTTCTTTCTCTGGCTGATTTTTAAAAACTGCACACCTGCATATGGTTGTTCTCGAAACAATTTGGCTTTATCCCTGAACACCTTTCGTGCGGGACGGCGCGCCACTGCACGGAACAGTCGCGTCTTCGAATCGGGGTTAGCGTGCCAGGTGAACCTCGTTTTCTGGTATTGACCAGGTAGTTGTGGCGCCTTGCGGCGCCCCGTAACACCGCCATCTTTCAACTGTCGGCGGAAACGTGCTAGTGATGACGTTTGTTTCTCTCCTCTCACGGTAGATCAGAAGATAAAAAGTGCGGTATCTCGTACCGTATTGCTAGCTTGTAAGTTTTATCGTATCTTTGAGTGGTCGATGGTAGCAACCGCTCGGTCGCATTTCCGTAAGTGGCCTTGGCGAAAAAGCGGGAAAGGTGGAAGACGCTGTGACCTTCCAACGGAAAGATTGAATGGCGAACGCGAAGGTCTGGCGCGCGCGATCGTGTGTAGGTCGTCACATTCATCTTCCGTGTGACCAAATACAGCGGTTAAAGGCAAACTCAAGCGGAGTAGATTGGCCGATCGCCAACTCGATCAACGGACTGCATTTCCAACCACGTGCTTTGCTCACGTATATAGTCAGCTACAGGCTACTCCGTTTTACTATTAGAAGCATTCTCATCCTTGGTTCATTTCGCGCGACTAAGCGTTTTCTCATTGCCCTTGTCCTCTCCACGTGTAATAATCAGCCGGCGTTGTGCTGCCACCCAGCGGCTCTCGTTCGGACTCGAACGTTTTGGGGATGATGGTTGGAATGGACGGTGGTTGATAGGCGTTATCAGTCGGCATTCATGCGATCTCGACAGGCGATTGATTGACGTATTGTCTTTTCTTCTCAGTTGGGCATATTTTGTTGCGTTCTACAGAAACTTTTTAACAGTGAGAACTTTTTGTTGAGCTGTTGCTCCGACAAAACTCGAGAGTATCGATCGGGAGTTACTTCTCTTGACTTTAGACTTCACCCCCGACAATTGTCGCTGAAATGGAGAGACAAGTAGAATGTAGAAGGTGGTTTTTCAGATTTTGTTTTACATTTGACAAGTTACTTCGACTTGAATTCATGTTAAAAAGGAAACAAAAGCAATTTTCACTTTCAAAATGTGCTTTGAAAATGCACAACAACAGATGTGCGTGTCAACTTCGTCGTTAGTTGTACTGTTAATATTGCTTGAGTGAAAGAGTGAGAGAGTGAAAAAGTGAGTGAGTGAGAGAGAAAGAGAAAGGGAGAGAATGAGAGAAAAAATAGGGAAAACTGTTTTCGGATCAGGTAGTGCGTGCGTGGCTGGGCAGTTAGAATTATTATCGCTGCGATCAGCGTGTCGGCCTGCTCGCACACCTCCTACCGACTAATCGGGGTTATCCCACTGCCCCTGTTCCACTCTGACCCTACCACTACCGCGACTACCCTCCTTGACCACCCCGTCGCGTCGTGTTCGTCGCTCTGCTGGCGTCTCGTGGTCTGCGGTGCTGCCACCAATCGCTTTCTTCGAAAATCAGGAACATGGCGCGCGGGCGCGAAGGGGGTGGCAATTGCAGTGGCAAGTTAGAACCGAAGACAGCGTGTTCGCGCGAATGGATTCAATTGCCGTGTCATCCGGATTTTCCGCGACGCCGGCTTCGCCGTTGACCCAGTGCCCGCGTTCCTTCCTGGAGACCGCGTCATCGACGATCCCGGTGACCGGTGCGAGTGAGGTTGGACTTGTTTACCAACGACCAAGTGTGTTTTCCAGCACTGGGTGAAGTCGCGGTCACGAAGTCGGTGTCAACGGGATCTCCCCGCGTTTTGATCGAGTCACGGCACTGGTGCGCGCGTCAGTTGTTGCTCGCCAGTTCGCTCTATACCTGGCTGATCCACGCTCCTCGATCGGCTTAGTGCGCTGGAAGTCGTCGCCACCACCCTTTTCCCTATTTCTCGTCGCACCTAATATCTCATCGCGCGCCGCGGTGCTGCCACCGCGCGGTGGAAGTAAGGGCGGATCAACGCAGCGGGGTTTGCGGAGGGTGCGTCGCGTCGCATCGAGTGAGTCGGCGTGATCGCGGGACGGAAGTAGGTTCGTGTCCTGACAGCATCTCGCTGTCGTCGTCGTTGTCGTCGTCGTCGTCGTCGTCGCGGTGCACGTTGTTACGCCCTCTCCCCTCCCGCAGTCACGGCCGCGCTGGCACCCTCGCAGTCTCCGGCATTCCTGGCGCTCCTCTTCCCCTCCCAGCTCCTCTTTCTCCACCACTACCTCCTCCTCCTCCTCGTCGGAGGCGCGCGTCTTAACCCCTCCCGGAAGTCGGATGAGTGGCGTATGCGAGTCGGTGTGAAAGGGACAGCCGGATCAGTCAGTAGTTGCGCGTGCATGAGGCCGGGCAAGCCGGCGTGCCGGGTTCCGTCCCGGCTACGCGGCGGCGTGTCCACGGGCCCTTCGTCGTGGTCATCCTCACCGCGCTCGCAGAGCTCCGTGCCGTGGGCCGGTGAGATCCTAGCGGGACCTAGAGCGAGAAGAGTCCTCGTCCGTCGGTCGAACCGCCAGCTGCTGAAGGCTGTGAGCGGAAAAAGGCTGTGCGCGAGATCGTCGGCAGAAGTAGTCACGGAGGTCGGAGAGGTGGAGTCATCGCGGGCGGCGATCATCGCGGGTTTGAATGGGTGGGCCGGGCGCCGGTAGGGTTACCAGGCACGAGCTGAACGCGGTGCCCCAGAGCCACGTCGGTCACGGGGAACGTGTCCTCGTCATTGGCGAGCCGCCAGCATCAGGCTGTCGCTGTCACGCTCCGGAGCGAGCATCCGGCAGTGCCGACCGCCCGTCCGCCCAGCAGCTGCCACCCTCACCGCCGCCGCTCACCTCCCTGCATCTCGACAACAGCAACACCACCGTCTGTGCCGTTATCAGCGGCAACAACAACAACAACGTCAACAACAACAACAACAACACCGCCAATCCGAGTGGCAAAGCTAAGAAGGCGGCCGCCATGTCTTCTCCGCCGAAACATCGCCGGGGCTTCGACCCTAACGACCCGGGGGAATATCACCGCTATCGTCGCGTTAAGACGAAGCAGCGGTGAGTGCATTCACCTGTGATCTATATACATATATATATCGATTGTTTTTTTTCTCGATCCATTGGAAGGCTCTTATTGATGATCGGCTGATATATATATCACGCCTTGATCCACTCCCTCAAGTTCTTCATCTTGATGTACATTTCTTCCTCCTGACTTCTCACCCAGTCGCGTGTGGAACTTGGTCTTTGATGTTTTCTTCTCTTGTTTTCGCATTTACGCGTACCACGAGTCGATCCTTCAAACTGTTTCTCTCTGTAAAACCTTAAATTGCGCCACGCGATAATTCATTGCAAATCTTAATGGTTAAAGTTTACTTCCAGCCTGGATGTGTAATTCATGTAATTACTCAAAGTTTAGTCGAGTACAATTGCTTTCCACTCGCGACTAGTCCTTTCACGAACGTCAAGTCGATCGGGAAACTGTCTGTGCCGAGCGACAGTTGGAACAGTCGAGTTGATGTTCTTCCTCTTCTTTTTTCTTCGTTATTTTTTCTACGCGATCCATCGAGTAAGTGTCGCATCGGGTAACTAACGAAAACGCCACGTTATTGTTGTCACTGGAAAATACAATGAGCTGCGTGTAACTCCTGACTCACGTGTATCGTTAATTTAACGTTATTTCTTATCGATCGATATGTATTGTCACGCGTACGTTCACGTCTCTTTCCCCTTCGTTCACTCGGTGAAATTAATTGTGTAACGAGTATACACGGTTGACATTCTGGTAGGCCCGTTGGCTACGGAGAACTTTCGTGAACGCGATGGATCGCGATGAAGCATGATCAATAACGAAAAGCCGAACCTTGTCCTCTTCTCCGCCAAACCGACTCCTACTCCCACCCTCGCCCTGTCATTTCTCGACATTTTCATCGCCCCTGTCACGCAGCTTCCACTGATGCTGAATGCACAATGTTCACAGAGGCTTTGTATGTCCCACATCGTGTGACCTTCGGCGCCGGACACAGACCTCCCCGAGATCCCCCGACACATCCACCAGCACAAGGCATTATAAAACACACACAAGCTTGCGATGTTCGATGTTGGATCGCTTACTGGTTGTATCCCCGCCGCTACAATGCGACGAAAGTATGAATCACGTGATAATAAAAAAAGATATATCATCATCCCCGAATATATAATGTGTCAATATATCAACCCAGCGTTTTCTTCCCGGAGCATCTTGCGGCATTAGCATGACTTGTGTCGAATTAAGGAGCGCTATATGGACCAATAGATCGAACGTGTGTGAGACCTTGTGCGAATATATATATATATATATATATATATATATATATATATACATAAAATGACTAAACTAAGATATGTACAATATAGATGTGGTGCGATATACACACATATATATTAATACGAAAAAATAAAAGAGATCGTATATAAAATATAAGAACATACGTACGAAAACGAGATGAGATTATCTAACGAGATTATAGGGTTAACTGATTTATATCGTCTCCTTTCGTCCACATCCCTGACCGGTCTGGAAGGAGGGGAGATAAGTCAAGTGTACCCTATACGGATAAATCAAGAATGAAATTACCAAGCGGCACATCATGTGTAAAATCGATCCCCGTGTCTTGACCGGAGCTTGGAATGCGCTGCCAATGCCGTGGAATGGAATGGAATGGAGAGGCTTGCACTTCGGCGAAAAAAAGAGCCAAAAGCTTTCACGCACTGCCGGGCTATCTCGATGTCACGGCGCGTGGCGCTGCGTTTTTCGCGGCGAACGGCCCCATGGAATGCTTTGTTTGATGTGTCAACTTCGAGAGAGATTTTGGCTTCTGCTTGGAAGATATACGAAGGAGCACCTGGAAAATGGAATGAGCGCCATCACCAACTCCCGCCGTTCTCTCTCTCTCTGTATTGTTTTTCTTTTCTTTTTACATTGCTCGTTTCGCGAAAGCATCCCGCCTTCCTTTAGTGAGATTTGTGTTGCGGCTCGCTCGCCAGCGTGCTGACGATTCGTTAAATTATTAATCGAAGGGCCGAGGCGCGCGAGGGAGCAATGCTACGTGTTTCCGCAAATGCATTTCACGCATTGGAAGAAAATTGGAAAATTGTACACGCGTAAAATATGTAAATTAAATTTGCAAAATTGCGTTACATATAAAGTTAGTATATAAACTAAAAAATTGTATACCCAAAATACGTATACAATTTTTTAATTACATATAAAATTGAATATGTACACTGAGAGGGG